GAGTATTTCATTGCAAAGCGGTTTAGCCTCAACTTCCCGGATTGATAATTTATTTTCATCTGTTGCTACGCAAATTTTTTATTTTTTTTTTAACCAGGCCTAGTAATTATTTTCAGAATCCTTCTGCCCTCTCCCCCAAAAGAACAAATGGTCGCCACCTAAGCAATCATTGAAATATATGTCCTGAACACACGGGAAAATTATTGTTAAACTATTTAAGGAAAATTCCATTAGGTTTTAATTCTTTCGGGATTTGGCAACGTGACTGAGTGAAAGAAATTCATCGGGAAGTTGTTATACAAAATTTTATAAGAAAACTTCTTTTCACAATCTAGAGAATCGCTATTCCCAAAATTCAAGTTTTAACAGAGTTTTCCGACCAAAAATCAGGTTATTGATTTTGGGTAGTACGAGGGGCTGTCGATAATACCTGTTTCTGTGCAATAGCTTGAGAACCGTTCAACCAATGCTTTCATATTTTTATATGGTGTTACTGGTGACGAAATGGCGGTTAAATTTGTTTATGTTGACATTTAACTGGGATTGCTGTAATTTGGCAGCCTCTTGTATTAAATGAATTGATCAAAGACGTAATTATGATGAATATCATTGCTAATTTTCGTTAATTGTTAACAGATTGGAGAAAAATAGGTATATGGCTAATATTTTTTTTAATTTTTTGCAAGTGACCTTTGTTCAAGACAGGGGTAGAACGTGACACACTTTGGTCATATGACATATTTTTTTATTTGTTCGTCGTGGTCTTTTTTCCAGTGGAACACACAATAACTTCCTATCCTGTAATCACCGTAAAATGGATGTCATTTGTACGGTATGACGTCACTTAGTGGAATTTATAGAATAGGCTAGCACCTCCCCTTGAACATCATTACGATTTATAGAACATACATTTTCATTAGAAAACACATAACAAAATGACACAACGTCCATTATGGATGTTATTGTGGGGTTATTGTACATTACGGTGGGATTATGAGCATCATGGACGAGAAGTAAATTTTCAGCGATGGTTTTGCATTACTACAACTGGGTTAATGCTACTGCCGATGATTCAGGGTTTTCAACAATGACTAGCATGGTTATCAGTTGCTGATGCTGAGGGATCCGGTACATCACTAGCATGAATATATTCGGAGCATGGTTGTCAGCTGCTGATGAATCCAGGTGTGAATGGCTTGGTTGTCAGTTGCTGATGAATCCGGAATATCACAAGCATGGTTGTCAGCGACTGATGGATCTGGAATATTACTAACATGGTTGTAAGTTGCTGATGGATCCTTAATATCACTAGCACGGTTGTCAGTTGCCGATGGATTCGAAATATCACAAGCATGGCTGTCAATTGCAGATGGAGCCGGAATATCTCTAGCATGGTTGTCAGTTGCCGAGGTATTCGAAATATCACAAGCATGGTTGTCAGTTGCCGATGGATCCGGAATATCACTAACATGGTTGTCAGTTGCCGATGGATTCGCAATATTACTAGCATGGTTGTCAGTTGCCGATGAATACGGAATATCACTAGCATGGTTGTCCGTTGCTGCTGAATCCGGGTTTTGACTAGGTTAGGTGTCAATGCTGCAATTAATACTAGTCATTGCAGGTTCGATGACACTGCCGATGGTTCCGGTATATCATATTCTTGGCTGTTAATGGCTGGTAGATCAGAGCATGGTTTTCAGTAGAGGATGTATCACTAGCATGGTTGTCAAAAGCCGATGTATTGGAAATATCACTAGCATGGTTGACAGTTGCCGATGGATCCGGGATATCAATAGTATGGTTGTCAGTTGCCGGTGGATTCGAAATATTACTAGCATGGTTGTCAGTTGCCGATGAATACGGAATATCACTAGCATGGTTGTCCGTTGCTGTCAGATGCTGATGGATCCGGTACATCACTAGCATGAATATATTTGGAGCATGGTTGTCAGCTGCTGATGAATCCAGATATGAATAGCTTGGTTGTCAGTTGCTGATGAATCCGGAATATCACAAGCATGGTTGTCAGCGATTGATGGATCTGGAATATCACTAGCAAGGTTGTCAGCGACTGATGGATCTGGAATATCACTAACAAGGTTGTAAGTTGCTGATGGATCTGGAATATCACTAACAAGGTTGTCAGTGACTGATGAATCCTCAATATCACTAGCATGTTTGTCAGTTGCCGATGGATCCGGAATATCTCTAGCATGGTTGTCAGTTGCCGATGGATCCGGAATATCACTAGCATGGTTGTCAGTTGCCGATGGATTCGGAATATCACTAGCATGGTTGTCCGTTGCTGCTGGATCCGGATTATGACTAGGTTAGTTGTCAATGCTGCATTAATACTACTTGTTCGATGACACTACCGATGGTTCCGTATATCACTGTCTTGGCTGTTAATGGCTGGTAGATCAGTAGCATGGTTTTCAGTAGAGGATATATCAATAGCATGGTTGTCGGTGGTTGAAGGATCCTGGGTATTACTACTGCATTTTTACCAATGAGTTGATAACTTTGCTGGTGGATCCTGGGTTTCTCTAACATAGTGTCAGTACTGCATAAATACCTCTGGGTCAATACCACTATTGATGGATCAGGGGTATTACTAGCTTGGTTTTGAGTGTTTGTATAAAAATGTTACTTATATATTTTGCTTGTTGAGAAATATTCTCCTTCATAACATTTTTTTTATTATAATGTTATTCCCCAAATGTTCCTCAATATGGATAATGATTAATTTTACTACAGTGGTTGATACTCAGGGGTTTTTCTATATTTGGTTTCGAAAACTACCGACGGCAATAACATATTTGAAGTGCACACATGTTTTATCAAATCTAATTTTTATACGACCGCAAAAAAATTTTGCGATCGTATATTGGTATGACGTTGGCGTCGTCGTCGTCGTCGTCGTCGTCCGGCGTCGTCGTCGTCGTTGTCGTCCGGCGTCGTCGTCCGGCGTCGTCGTCGTCGTCGTTGTCGTCCGGCGTCGTCGTCGTCGTCGTCGTCCGAAGACACATTGGTTTTCGCACTCGTTGTCGTCCGGCGTCGTCGTCGTTGTCGTTGTCGTCCGGCGTCGTCGTCGTCGTCGTCGTTCGAAGACACATTGGTTTTCGCACTCTAACTTAAGTTGAAGTGAATGGATCTCTATGGAATTTTACCATAAGGTTCAATACCACGAAAGGAAGGTTGGGATTGATTTTGGGGGTTATGGTACCAACAGTTAAGGAATTAGGGGCCAAAAAGGGGCCAAAAATAAGCATTTTTGTAACTTCCAGACATAACTTGTGTGTTAGTGTATGGATCTCTCTGACATTGTACCACAAGGTTCCATATCACAAAGGGAATGCTGGGATTGATTTTGGGGGTAATTGCCTCAAAATTTTAGGAATTAGGGGCCAAAAAAGGGGCAAAAAACAAGCATTTTTATATGGAAAATACTTTAGTACAAAACATAATTTAAAGCAGTGTAAGGGAGATAAATCAAATACATCATTTGAATAACCCCCTTACACTTCTTTTAAATTATGTATAAAGTAATGGTTAATGAACAATTAAGACAATTTAAAACAGTGTAAGGGAGGTAAACCACATACAACGTTTTGATTACTTCCCTTACACTGCTTTAAAATTATGTTTAAAGAAATGCATATTTATAAAGGAAGACCAGTAAAAATATCTGCAAATGTTGAATCTTTTTTTTTTTTACAAAAAAATCCATATGAAAGATTTGACACCATATTTTTAATTCTATTATAAAATAGATTAAGTTAGCACTATGGTAAATTTAAATGGGTAATTATGGTTGCAAATTCCATTTTTTTTTTTTTCAAATTTCAAATATTGAAAAATTTCAAGAAGTAATCTTTAATTGCACAGTATGGCGCATTATATTTGTAAAATCTTTGACCACATTTATTTATTTGTTATGCCAAATCTGACCGTGTATTTAGATTTTTAATTTTGGGTCCAGTTTTCAAATTATTCTACATTAAGGTCCAAAGGGTCCAAAATTAAACTTAGTTTGATTTTAACAAAAATTGAATATATGGGGTTCTTTGATATGCTGAATCTAAACATGTATTTAGATTTTTGATTATGGGCCCAGTTTTTAAGTTGGTCCAAATTGGGGTCCAAAATATATACATGTTTCTTGAATAACTCTAACCAAGTTCACTCGAGATTAAGATTAAGAAAATATCTATTAAAATCAAAACAATGAAGGGCCTTCGGGAGTTAGTACCTTAATTTTTGTGCAACTACCTCTATAAATAATTTAAGTAGCAATGTCAATCTATTAGCAGCAGCTGCCAGTGGTAGTTATATAAATTTAACAATATATGTAACATTCATCTGGTAAGCTCGATACCAAAGGTTTGGACCACTCCCCATAAATAAAATAATAGAAAAAGGAGACAAAGTGTCTATGCAATGGAAACAGAGATTCTATCTTCAAAATTTGAGAAAATTGGGAGAACTTTTGACAATACCGTCTTCGCGTTAGGGTTAATCCCTTCTATGCCATTTACATCGGATTTTAAAACGGTATATCACTTCATAATACCAACATTCACTGATTTCTTAGGGACACGCCATTTCACCCGAAATAAAACGATAATCCCTATAAAATTAATACCAACATTCGCTGTTATCTCAAGGACCATTTGACTCGGATTAAAACTGTAATCATTTAAAATATCAAATTTTCTCTTATCTCAGCGAAATCCCATCTCATTCAAAATAAAATGGTAATCACTTAATGGTTATTACTCAAGGACATGATAGGGATTGACAAAAATTGTTACAGAGAAATAAAATGCAGACAATCTGTCTATTTGACAATTAAAAACGTCATTGGAAGATATTACTATCTGATTACTATTAAAGACAATATACTAATTACATTACTACATCTAAATCAAACACTAGGCTTTTGTAAAAAAAAAATAATTTCAGTTAAAATGGAGTTATAAATATGAAATACTTACAAGATTTTGTGCCATTCTTAGCTGTTTTTGGTATTAAATCCTCACTAGCCATTATAGTTGTATCGTCAGATCAGCGGTCAGTGCCATTTTTACCTGCAGCAGATGTCATATGAAATCACACAGTAGTAAATTAATGATTATATTTCGTTTCCTTTATGGCAATTCCTAGGAAGCTTTGTCAAGATTCATTAATTACACACGTGGTCTTTGAACAAGCAGTGAAAACAAACAGGTAGAAAATGAAGATGTACAACGTAAATCTTCCTTTTAGCAAACACACGTCATATGCTATGTAGAAAAGGTGCCTAGGGATACATAAAATGTCAGAGGATACATATATTATAGATTTTAACCAGTTTATTTTTATTTTTTGTGTAATCCATGCAAACGTATGTTTAGTCAACAAAACTTCCTCAGTTGCATTAGAATTTGTTTACATATTTTGAAATTTATATTAATATGCTCGTTTTGATTCTGAAATATTAACCAAACCAATTAATCTCATGCTGGAACCTGTATCAATATCACTTATTGTCATTGCTTCATTTATATTAAAGTATAAAGTGAATACTGTATGAATCAACCAATTATCATACAGTTTTCGAATCTACATGTTATTCGAACATGTCCTCGGATTGTAAACAGATGTGAATGCATTTGTACTTATCTCCATGTTGTTTGAATATGAGCACTTGTACTTTATAATGGAAATCCATTACTCTGTTGTTAAATTAAATAAACTTGCTGTGAATCGTGTTATTGTTCAAGAAGTCCATGAAGCAATCTATTTCCAATTTTGATAAAAGATAATGTAAAAACGTGACAAATCGCACGAAGATCAAAAAGAAAATTGGAGAAATCGACTTATGACAGTTGTGATTTCAATTATAAACATTGTCGTAAGTCGTTATTTCAATTATAAACATAACTATTAATAACCCACAGTCCATTGTGCTGAAAGGAGTTTTCATTATCAAATAATAACATAAATACATCAATTTCATTAACACTTTCCCAGTTCAATTATCGAATTCATATATTACAACAAAATGGAAACGTTCAGCAAAATGTAATTATTCACTGACCAGAAACCATCAAATTGCACGGTGACGCTTATCCGTCATATTTTTTCAATCACGGCATCAGATGACAGAAGCACTTCTTGGACGATTATTCATGGAGAAAGTCATTTGCAAAATAAATACTATCTATCCCAAAGTGGAAATATTTTTTTGTCTGAAGAAATCGCATTGGTTGATTGATTGATTTGTTCGCTTGTTTGTTTGTTTGTATATTTTTGTAAGTTCGTTCATTCCTTTATTCATTCGTTCATTGTTCATTCTACTCTCATTATTACAAGACAGTTATGAAAAATCAAATACTGACATGCATATGCATGTTTATAGCATGAGTTAGGGATACCATTCCTAGAGAATTAATATGTAATTGAATTTTTTCTTGCGTAACTTGCTTTCATTTCGTGATAAAAAAACAGCATACATTTATTGATTTACGTTTATATTAAAGGGGCACTAGCTGTCAAGTTCATGTTCACCGATTTGACTCAAATTCTCATATTTGTTTTATAACAATGTAAAACATTTATCCAAATTATAAAAAGTCTAAAATAAACAGTGTACATGGCATGGGCATCATAATATGTAGCTTCGTTTCGTGTATTTTTTAGTTTAGACGTCATCTAATTAACTATCGAGTTGACCTCCCGAATACCACCGATGCCCATATTAGCGATATAAACATAAATATAGATATAAATAGATAGCGGAACTCGTGGAATTGGATTCTTCTAGGTCCATTTAATTTCATTTATAGTGAAAAATATATGTTAATCGTCATTTTTACCTGTATAAGAATGATTTTTTTGAAGATCGAATCAGTCAATCAAATGATTTACCTTTGTTTCACTTTCAATGTTGACATTCTTTTCCTTTAAATAATCAAACACGCACACAATTCATGCGTTATCCATCTCTAGCTAAGGGGTTATATTGAAGTTCACATGAATACGGATTCAATGAGGTCGAATTATTCACTTGCAAGTGAATAATTCAACATCAATGTTTCTTAGCTTATTTTGACAAAATTCGTCCATACTGGCTACTAAAAGCGAATTATTATTCCACTATTTCACTTTCGTTAATGCTTTCATATTTTTTATGTATCTCGTAGCTAGTGCCCCTTTAATATGTTTTAGGTCCTTTTTGGTCATGTAGCTCTTCAACAGTTTTAGTATTTGTACATTCTTGGCTTTCACATATTCGGCTTTATGCGTTCCTGATGAAGGTAATCCAGAAAAGCGCTTCAAAGTATTTACAATTATGAAGTGTTATTTTCATTTTGTACAGACCTTCGAAATAGTAGTATATATGTTACTCAGAATTTGAATAAAAATAAATCTTTAAAAATAGCAATCCACGTCATATAGCTGAAATTTGCATAATGATTTAGATGTCGATTTCAAAATAAACAATAGCTCTTAAAATATTAATTAAATTTCAATAATTATAAAACATGTAGATCATAGGATAATAATCTATCAATTTTGCATTTTTGTATCAATTATTCATATTAACAGTTATATAGATATATAATGTCAGTTATTTTTTTCAAATAAATAAAAGATGGAAGGTATGATAAGACCAGTTTTTTGCCCCTTAAATTCGAAATTTCAATTTTGTCTTACATATTGGTATTAGGGCTTTAAATAAAGCAATATGTAAATAGTATGACATTTTAATATTGCTGCAGGCTTTTAATCTAATTCAATATTCATAATTCTAAATATTTTAGTATCAATTACATTAAGATATCTTTTGACATGCACTGTATAATGAAAGAGTTTAGTATATAAATTATCTATCAGTAGACCTACTTATATGTGCAAAATGAATATTTGTTACAGAATTAAATCATTTATTGTTCAAAATAACCTCTATGATTGTATTTCCTTAGTCCAATTACATATATGAATTTGCATTCTCTTTTCGCTGTATTATGTGTTTATGGTGTGTTTTATTTCAAATGCGTACAGTAACCACATTGCATAAGACATTTCTCCTACAGCACTTTCCGCTTTGATTTCCTGGTGGAAAGAAAATGGCCATAATGATTGACGTGGTATACTGTGAAATTATAGAAAATGAATGCAAAATGTTTACTTTTGTATAAATTTATATTTTTATTGCATACAAATTTTCTAACATATCCTGAATATCAAACAATTCAAAATTGAGTTGATGTTGTTTATAAAGCCCGTAAATTTAGATGAGATACATGTAAACTAATTGATTCGTTGAATAAACGTGATTAAAGGTTATCAATTTAACACGGTAGCAAAATCTTTGAATATTGTTTTATTGATACTTGCATTGATTTTATTTTTGAAAAATGAAAACATAACTAAATTTATATTGCTATATATGGACAGTTATGAGAACTAATTATACTACATCCTGTCGATACTGTTTACTTGTATTTTGGCATTGCACAAGGTCATGCGTTTCTCGGACTGTTAATGACGTCTTTACACTCAATCCGTTGGATGTGTACCGATTGATATTTAGGGTGGGAGAAAATAATTTATTTATTAGTTGTAATTGGCTTTGGATTGCTTTCAGTAACTGCGAGTACTCTGATTTTAGTGCTTTGTGTCTATTGTTTTTTATGTTAGTTATTTTTGTGCCTCGTATCGATCATTTTAGGTATGTCAATGACAACTGATTTTTACAGTATGTTCTTATGTTGTGCTGTTACACCACTGTCTCAGGTTAGGGGTTGGATTGAGCGCACACAAACATGTTTAACCCCGCAACGTTCTTTATGTGCCTGTCACAAGTCAGGAGCCTGTAGTTCAGTGGTTGTCGTTGGTTCATAGATATAAGAAGATGTGGTATGAGTGCCAATGAGACAACTCTCCATCCAAGTCAAAATTTATAAAAGTAAACCATTATAGGTCACAGTACGGTCTTCAACACGGAGCCTTGGCTCACACCGAACAGTAAGCTATAAAGGGCCCCAAAAATTACTAGTGTAAAACCATTCAAACGGGAAAACCAACGGTCTAATCTATATAAAAAACGAGAAACGAGAAACACTTATGAACCACATCAACAAACGACAACTACTGAACATCAGATTCCTGACTTAGGACAGGTGCAAACAAATGCAGCGGGTTTAAACGTTTTAATGGTACCAAACCTTCACCCTTTTTCCTGAAACAATAGTGTAACATCACCACATAGAAAGACACACTATAAAATATCAACTGAAATAGCTTAACTCAATCAAAGGACATATCAACACCAGTGAACATACACTGAAAAAACAAATTTGACCTATGATACAATGTAAATACAAAATAAACAAACTAAGGGAAGAATAATAAAAGTAACATGTTATATCGGTATGAAATGTTAAACAATTTAAGAAAAACAATATGCTCGAACAAAAATATCAGCCATTTGCAATAACTTTAAACACAGGTAAATGAAAATAATTTTGTTGTTAGGTATACGTGTACAGTTCCAATAGAGAAAGGAAATATTTTTACAAAATAAATAATTTTGATGTTCATAGTACGAAGTGAAAATTTATAGTAATACCAAACACTTATCAAAGCTGGTATATAGACCAGATATAACCCTGAATAACATTAAATAACAAAAAAAGCATTACAATTAGTATCAACAGGTCAAATAAACAAGAAAGTACGATTTGAGAGTACTCGCAGTTACTGACAGCTAGTTAAAAGCCAAAACAATTAATAATAAAAAATCATGCATCAGAGATTAAAATCAACTAAAACACATCCCAGGGATTTAGTATTTTAACGTCATGGACAGTCATGTCTGTCATATTTGTTTTTCGAAATTGTTTTGTTATAAATTATGCCGTTAATTTTCTCGTTTGAATTGTTTCACATTTTTCATGTCGGGGCCTTTTATAGCCAACTATACGGTATATGTTTAACTCATTGTCGAAGACCGTACAGACAAATTATCGCTTACATCCACTTCTCATATTAACTCTGGTGGATATAAAGTCATCATATATACCAGGCTTAAAATTTTGTA